CTATGAAAATTCGTATGAAATTTAATGCTGCGACACATTTGATTTAAAGGGCATGATTACTCTAAAACAGCTCCTTATGAATCTATAGAACTGTAATTAGATCCATGAAAAATTGAATTTGCCCAGGGGAATGATTCTAGATCATGGTAATAGGTTCTTAAGTATATCATATACCCAAATGCACTTACAGTATAGGGCCTCTTTTTGCTTCATTCAGACTTGTTCAAGATTGCTTTAGAATATCTCTTGTCCTTAACATAGTGTTGACAATTTTATGTACAGCCAACTAGTAAAATTCCTGTTTCAGTTTTTATTTTTTGCCACCATGGATTATCTTTTGTTCATTAAAGAAAGACTTGCATATTATGGATTGAGTATGTCATGCCAGTAAATTAGCTGGTAGAGTAATAAATATAACGGGGATAGGACTTCAGGTGATTCCATTAAAATTTTGATTGCCATCTTAACGAATATTGTTCAGTTAAGAAAAGAAGCATAAAACGTTTAGGAAAAAAGCCTCTAAACTTCAGATGTAAAAAAGGGTCAAGATTGCTCCAAGGTTCTGATTTATTAGTATGCATTATATGGCACTATGTGATAAGTGAGCCAGTGATTAGCTTTTGGGAACCCACTAAAGAAAGGAGATCTTTGATTTTTCTGAGTCTACTTCTAATATTGAGTCATTTTACTAAATCTATGATGATTTAACTTTGATTATTGCAAGTGAGATACTAGATAGCTGCTTACATGCTTTTATAGCTTAATGTTAGGATCAGTATCTTAAACTAATTGATCACAGTAATTATTTAATTGTGTGTATTGCTACTTCATGCAGGTTACATCCCCCGACGGTAATACGGTCCATACATTGAAAGGAACACCGGGGGATAAATTTGAGTTTAAGGCCTCCAGAAGTGGAATGTACAAATTCTGTTTCCATAATCCTTATTCTACACCAGAAACAGTCTCTTTCTACATTCACGTTGGTCATATTCCCAGTGAACATGACCTCGCCAAGGATGGTTTGTCTGATTTCTTGTATAAAAATTTTTTCAGCTGATTATTTTGATTAATAGATCTAACTTTGGACTGTTTTCCTTCTATTTTTCCTCTTTAGATTTAATTTATTCAAATTTATCTTCTGGTGGTGTCTTTTTACAGAACATTTAGACCCCATCAACGTCAAAATTGCTGAACTGAGGGAGGCATTGGAGTCTGTTACAGCAGAGCAGAAGTACTTGAAAGCACGTGATGGTCGTCATCGTCATAGTAAGGCCTGCTTTCATTTTTTTATGTAATGTGTTGCCTATGTTAATATGATGCAAAATGCTATTTTCTATCATATTATTTGGTTGCTTTCTGTCTTTTAGCATTTAATGTATGCTTGTCCAATGTTCTGTCACATGCTTTATGGTTGTCGAAGTCCGAAACTTATTAAGGCTTGATATTTGATGTTTGTCTATTACAATATGATTGAATATGAAATGCACCTGGCCTCAAGCTTGAAATATTCGATTAGTTGATATATTGAAAAGTTCCTCAAGGTTCATACATTAACCTATTCCATGCTAAAAAAGGTATACTTTTAACCATGACATTCATAGGGAGGGATTTCTAAGAGATGGGAAAACATACAAATGCAGTTTGAGCATTTATTAGTATTAAGCATTTTGTGAAATCCGCTCATCAGACCAACAGTCCAACAATAATCTTTTAGGCTAAGATGATGCAATATATGTAAAAATTGTGCTACAGGTATAGCATATTTAACAGCATTCTTGACAGCCATCTCACAGGTAGGGGGTGGGGCCTGCGATTGTTTGTGAGACGTCTTTCAAACTAATCCGTTGTACACTTAGCATTTTCCTATATGTAGATAGCAGTGTTTCACCGTCAATAGCTGGATTACTAGTTGCCAAATATTATCAATTGTGTCCAAAGTGGTGCTTGCTCAATCCACTGCAGATAATGAATTAATGATGTGTTTATTTTATGCTAAAAGAACTGATTGATATATATATATATATATATGTATGTATGTATGTATGTATTGTAATTTGATTACTTTAATTGCTTAAAGGGTTGATTTAGGGAATCCAATTCTCACTATCTCACCATCTACACTTTGAAAAATAATTATATCATGATATGACACAAGAAAATGGATATCAAACTGTTGATTCGTAGGATTTGCGTTCAGTGCTCTGTTATGATCATCAATTATCTAGCATATAGTAGTTTCACCCTACCTACTCGTAAATAGTCAAATTACATATGGACGATTCCTTATGAGGCGATTTTTGCCTCGACTGTGACAGAGACCGCTCTTATCCTCCATTTCCCAATGATCAACTCAACACCCC